AAAGAGGAACCAATGTAATAATCTGAACAATAAAGATTTAATTAATAAAAAAAAAGATGGTTTAATGATTTTGTAAACCTCATGAATGTATTTGTGTATGATCAACTTTTTGTTTTATAAACACAATAAGGAGAGAAACATAAGGATATAAAACAAGTTAGATCTTTTGTTTTCGTTTTGTGGTTGTAAATCCTCACCTGGAAAGATTTTTTTCCATGGACTTGTGGGAGGCGAAGGCAGGACAGTAGAGGCACAAAAGGGAAAGGGGAGAGAGAGAGAGAGAGAGAGAGAGAGAGAGAGAGAGAGAGAGATTGACATCAATGTGAAAGAGAGACAGAGATACATGGATTGGCTGCCTACCACAGGTACCTAGGACCTACTTGCCCTGGACTAGGAATCAAACCCTCCACCACTGATCCACACCAGCTTAGGGAACTAATTTTTCTTACTAGTATATTTCTTTCAAAATTTTTATGTATCATTAGTGGAGAGCTATGTTGTAGAAATTTAATGAAACTGAATATACATTAATACCATTCTTGGAAACTCTGTAGAAAATACAAAAAAGTGATGGTCTTTGCACAACTTTCATTAAATCTTTTTACAACATTATTACTGAGAAAGGGAGACTATTAACTCTATAGTGAGGGGAGCACCTCTGCCACGTGAACATCAGGTGGACTGAACAATGAGTATCAGGTGACTGAGGCACATGGAAGGTCAGGTCATCACTGCTGTGACATTACTGCCAAAATACATCAATAAAGAAATAATTATGTGGAAATGATCATAAATATTCATTTTTGCAAATGTCAATCCACGTGTACCTCTCACGTTCTGTAAGGTAATAGTAGTTTTATCTACCAAGTATTTCGTACTAATCTAGTGAGCAAGTCTCTTCTATTTGCTCTTCTTTTCAGAATTTTCTGAGTTATTCTGAGAAGATGTGCATCTTCTTACCCCTGATCTAGAGCTGATGCTGCAGCCACTTGAACCTAAGACCTACATTTGCCTTCTTCAGTGATATGTGAGCCTCTGACCCATTTCAGTAGGGATGTCAGACATGGCTGCCTTCCAAGTTTTATCTGTCACAAAAAGGGATATTCTGATTAGTTGAAAGTCACTAATTAAAGGTCAGAGATACATGGATTGGCTGCCTACCACAGGTACCTAGGACCTACTTGCCCTGGACTAGGAATCAAACCCTCCACCACTGATCCACACCAGCTTAGGGAACTAATTTTTCTTACTAGTACATTTCTTTCAAAATTTTTATGTATCATTAGTGAAGAGCTATGTTGTAAAAATTTAATGAAACTAAATATACATTAATACCATTCTTGGAAACTCTGTAGAAAATATAAAAAAGTGGTGGTCTTTGCACAACTTTCATTAAATCTTTTTACAACATTATTACTGAGAAAGGGAGACTATTAACTCTATAGTGAGGGGAGCACCTCTGCCACGTGAACATCAGGTGGACTGAACAATGAGTATCAGGTGACTGAGGCACATGGAAGGTCAGGTCATCACTGCTGTGACATTACTGCCAAAATACATCAATAAAGAAATAATTATGTGGAAATGATCATAAATATTCATTTTTGCAAATGTCAATCCACGTGTACCTCTCACGTTCTGTAAGGTAATAGTAGTTTTATCTACCAAGTATTTCGTACTAATCTAGTGAGCAAGTCTCTTCTATTTGCTCTTCTTTTCAGAATTTTCTGAGTTATTCTGAGAAGATGTGCATCTTCTTACCCCTGATCTAGAGCTGATGCTGCAGCCACTTGAACCTAAGACCTACATTTGCCTTCTTCAGTGATATGTGAGCCTCTGACCCATTTCAGTAGGGATGTCAGACATGGCTGCCTTCCAAGTTTTATCTGTCACAAAAAGGGATATTCTGATTAGTTGAAAGTCACTAATTAAAGGTGGGAATGCTTCCTGCTTTCAAAATGAATACAGACAAGGCTTTGGGACAAAGGAGGGAATTATACCCCAGCCAGTGTGGCTGAGAGATAGAGGGTTGACTTATGAACCAGGAGGTTAGGGTTGGATTCCTGGTTAGGGCACCCTCCAGGTTTCAGACTTGATACCCAGGGCAGGGTGGAGTGCTAGAGGCAGGTGATCAATGATTCTCCAACCTGATTGATGTTTCTGTCTCTATCTCCCTCTCCTTTCCATTCTGAAATCAATAAAAATATTTTTTTAAAAAGAGAGGTTAAAAAAAAAAGAAGAAAAACACAAACAAAAAAAGAGAAATATAGAAACTGCTGACATTGACTATCCAATAGAAAACCCTAATAGGCAAATCGACCAACCTGGAGAACAACCGGTTGCTATGACATGCACTGACAACCAGGGGCAGACGCTCAACACAGGAGCATCTGTCCCCTGAGTGTCCTGAGTAGAGCATCTGCCCCTTGAGAGGGAGGTGACCGGTGGCTTTGGCAGCAGGGGCAGGGATAGCCATCAGGCGGCCCCAGGCCGCCAGCCAAGGCAGGTGCCAGTGGGGACTTGCCAATTGCCTCATCGGTCACCCCACAGATCGGCCCTGATTACCGGCCAGGCTTAGGGATCCTACCCTATATTTAGGGAACAGTCTCTTAGATTTAAAAATTAAAGCCGGGAAAGGATATTCTAACACTTAAAAAACAGGATGATGCAGTGAT